CCACTGGTCTCACCCCTTCAGGAGCAAGGGAGAATGAAGAGAACAGGATACAAGGAAAAGATTAGTCCAAAGGACTAATGGACCACAGCTACCAAGGCCTCCACCAGACTGAGTCCAGTACGGCTAGATGGTGCCCGGCTACCACCACTGACTGCTCTGACCAGGATCACAACTGAGGGTTCTCGACAGAGCTGGAGAAGGATGTAGAACAAAATTCTAACACACAAAAGAAAGACCAGATTTACTGGCCTGAAAGAGTCTGGAGAAACCCCAAGAGTATGGCCTCCAGACACCCTTTTAGCTCAGTGGTAAAGTCACTTCCGAGGTTCACCATCAGCCAGGGATTGGACAGCCCCATAAAACCAAATGGGACTAATGAGGCACAGCAGTCCAGGGACAAGGACTAGAAGGCACAAGGGGACAGGACAGCTGGTGATAGGGAACCCAAGGTTGAGTAAGGACAGTGTTGACATGTCGTAGGGTTGTTAACCATTGTCATAGGGCAACATGTGTACTGTTTAATGAGAAACTATTTTGTTCTATAAACCTTCATCTAAAGTCAGAAAAGCAGCACAACTGGAAGAACGTAATTGATGTCACTGAACTGTGCATGTAGAAATTTTTGAAATGGTGTATCTTGGGCTATGTATATTTTCACCAAAAAAAAGGTTGAGAAGGGAGGGGCTTGACATGTTGTGGGGTTGTTAACGAATGGCACAAAACAATATGTGTACTGACTGTTTAATGAGAAACTATTTGTTCTGTAAACCTTCACCTAAAATACAATTAAAAAAAAAATCTTAAAAATAAATAATTTCTCATATATGAAATGGAGGCCTGGTAGTGCAGTGGTTAAGCATTCAGCTGCTAACCAAAAGGTCAGCAGTTCAAATCCACCGGCTGCTCTTTGAAAACCCCATGGGGCAGTTCTACTCTGTCGTATAGGGTCGCTATGAGTTGGAATTGACTCGACAGAAGTGGGTTTTTTTTTTTTTTAAATATATGAAACATAAAGTCTTACAGCTCTTTCTAGTGGTATAATTTGTATTTCTGATGCCAAAAACAATCTTTTCAACAGCTCCTATAAGCAGGAAGAAGTCTTATTTTCTCTTCCCCTAAGTCAACCTTCAAGGTGAGCACACCACCTTGTGTATAAGGGCACACACCAAGTTAGAGTTTAAAATGCATCCCACTAGGGTCAACTTAAAAGGAGCCCTGGTGGCACAGTAGTTAAAGTGCTCTGCTGCTAACCAAAACGTGGGCGGTTTGAACCCACCAGCTGCTCCGTGGGAGAAAGATGTGGCAGTCTCCTTCTGTAAACATTTACAGCCTTGGAAACCCTATGGGGCAGTTCTACTCTGTCCTATAGGGTCGCTATTAGTCAGAATCTACTTAACAGCAGTGGGTTGGTTGGTTGAAGTCAACCTTCAAGGTTGTTGCTAGGTGCCATCAAGTCAGTTCCAACTCATAGTGATCCTATGTACAACAGAACGAAACACTGTCCAGTCCTGCGCTACCCTCACAATCATCGTTATGCTTGAGCTCATTGTTGCAGCCACTGTGTCAATCCATCTTGTTGAGGGTCTTGCTCTTTTTCACTAACCTTCCACTTTACCAAGCATGACGTCCTTCTCCAGGAACTGATCACCCCTGATAACATGTCCAAAGTATATGAGACGTAGTCTTGACATCCTTGCTTGTAAGGAGCATCTGGTTGTACTTCTTTCCAGACAGATTTGTTCGTTCTTTTGGCAGTCCATGTGTATTTAATACTCTTTGCCAACACCACAATTCAAATGTGTCCATTCTTCTTCAGTCTTCCTTATTCATCGTCTAGCATGCATATGAGGCGATTGAAAACATCATGGCTTGGGTCAGACGCACCTTAGTCTTCAAGGTGACATCTTTGCTTTTAAAGATCTTTTGCAGTAGATTTGCCCAATGCATTGCGTTGTTTGAATTCTTGACTGCTGCTTCCATGGGTGTTGAGTTTGGATCCAAGTAAAATGAAATCCTTAACAACTTCAATCTTTTCTCCGTTTACCACAATGTTGCTTATTGGTCCACTTGTGAGGATTTCTGTTTTATGTTGAGGTGTAATTCATACTGAAGGCTGTGCTCTTTGATCTTCATCAGTAAGTCCTTCAAGTCCTCTTCACTTTCAGCAAGCAAGGTTGTGTCACCTGCATATTGCAGGTTGTTAATGAGTCTTCCTCCAATCATGATGCCATGTGCTTCTTCATACGGTCCAGCTTCTGGGATTATTTGCTCAGCATACAGACTAAGTATGGTGAAACGATACAACCCTGATGCACCCCTTTCCTGACTTTAAACCATGCAGTATCCCCTTGTTCTGTTCGAACCTTCAAGGTGAGTGTATGTAGGTCACTCGCCAAGTTAGATTTTAAAATGCATCCCACTAGCTTCAACTTAACAGGAGCCCTGGTGGCACAATGGTTAAGTGCTTGGCTGCTAACCGAAAGCTTCATGGTTTGAACTCACCCAGTGGCTCCGTGGGAGAAAGACCTGGCCATCTGCTCCCAGAAAGGTTAAAGCCTAGAAAACCCTACGGGGGCAGCTCTACTCTGTCACATGGGGTTGCTACGCGTCAGAGTTGACTCGATGGCACCTAACAACAGCTTCAACTCAAAGCAACTGGAATAATCTGAATCAGTATATATTTGATGTTTTACATTAAAACGATGTCAGTAGTAGACACCACTTTCTTCCTAGGAACAAAAATATTCAATTGGAAGAGGCAATCAGAAGTATTATCATCATAGAATAATCAGAGCTAAAAATTTTGATCAAGGTAGCTGAAATCCAAGTTAACTGGATTCCTTGCAACTGACAGGAAACGGTTTTTACGTGATAATTGCAATTAAGGCAGGGGAAACCCCACTGCCTTTATTTCATGCAATTAGAAACTTGTTCTATTTTATCAATTGTTCTTATTTAATCTTTAATTCAAGTCTGTAAGTGAAGAAGGTTCAAAGATTGTCAGGTTTATTAACTAAAAACTAGTTTCTAAAAACTAAGTGCTCAAAAACAACCCTACATTGATGGGGTTATGTTGAGAGGACAGGCGCCAATTAGAAGAGCTCCCAATGGTCAAAGCTGGAACAACTTGAGCAAGAAAATGATAGTATTGGATATAACCCAAAGTATCAACTAAACATCCATGACTTCACACTGATATACATGATTGAATAAATGAGTAAGGGAGAAGAGACAAATCTGTGCAAAATTCCAAATAATTTAGGCAGATACTCTGCTCTCAAGGAAGAGAAACAATCCTTAAGCGTGGACTGCAAACAGTGACTTTCTTCCAAAGAGTATAGTGTAGAAAGGGAGGTAGGGCGAGTAACTTGACATGGAAAATCCCGAGAAACACTACCTCAGCAAGGTGATCAAGGTCAATATCGGCAGTGATAAACCATGCTGATAATACATACCCTTGCTATGTGATGAAAATGGCACTTTACCTCTGAGATCTCCCTCCCCAAAACCCATAAACTGACTGCCTTCGAGTCGAATGACTCACAGCTACCCTGTGGGACAGAGAACTCCCTCACAGGGTTTCCAAGGCTGTAATCTTTACGGAAGCAGACTACCACATCTTTCTCCCTTGGAGCACTGGTGGGTTCGAACCGCCCACCTTTCAGTTAGTAGTCGAGCATTTAACCACTATGCCACCAGGGCTCCTTCCAAAAACCTATAAACCCAGTTTAGTCATGAGAAAAATTCCAATAGTGGGACATCCTACAAAGTACCTGACTAGTACTTCTCAAAACTGTCAAAGTCATCAAAACAAATCTGAGAAATTGTCACAGCTAAGGGGAACCTAAGGAGACAAGTAAACATACCATGGGATCCTAGAACAGAAAGACATTAGGTAAAACCTAAGGAAATCTGACTACAGACTTTAGTTAATAATAATGGATCAATGTTGCTGTTGGGTGCCGTTGATTCCAACTTATAGCGACCATATAGGACAGAGAACTGCCCCATAGGGTTTCCAAAGAACAGCTGGTGGACTTGAACTGCCAACTTTTTAGTTAACAGCTTGAGGTCTTAACCACTTTGCTGCCAGGACTTCTAATGTATCAATAATGGTTCATTAATTGTAACAAATGTTCCATACTAACACATTAATAATAGAGGAAACTGCGTGAGGGGCTATATGGTATATATGGGAACTCTATTACCGTCTCAATTGTTCTAAATCTAAAACTGCTTTAAAATACAGTCTATTTAAAATTTTTTCTAAGTTTCTACAGGTACACACATGGAGCCCTGATGGCACAGTTAGAGCTCGGCTGCTAATCAAAAGGTCAGCAGTTGGAATCCACCAGCCGCACCTTGGAAACCCTATGGGGCGGTTCTACTCTGTCTCAGAGAGGAACTATCAGTTGGAATTGACTCAACAGCAATAGGTCTACAGGTATACACAGGAATATAAATACATGGAAGAAAGTCTAAAGATACCCTAAACCAGTAATAGTTCCATGACAATTTCTCTACCTGCACTGTGTGAACCGCTTTTATGGAGGAGATATTTATATATTAATATAAAAATCTGAGACACATTAAGTGTAAAAGAGAAAGTAAAAACCACCATAGGCTTCTCTCTTATCAGCAGAAAAGTTTTATTCCTTTTAGTAACAATTAAACCACATCCAAGGCATTAACTTACAGACAAACCAAAGTAGCCATTTAAAGCAGTAGATACCAAGGTACAAGACATACGATAGAGGAGCTGGGGGAAATGCTTTGCCATCTGAAGCTTACACCAAGCCTTGCTTAAATCAACAGTGGAGCTCTGCTAGTGCTTGGGTGTGGTTGAGGGTATGAGTATTTCCGCAGAACTGAAGAACAGCTGTGCTTTACAAGTACTGAAGCATTTCAGACTGCATTGATAGGTAAATGTTTTCACGTTGAAGGGAAGAGGGGAAAAGTTAAATCCTCCAGTAGGGTATTTAAATCCCTCTCATAGAGCATCAGGCTGCCTTGCAGAGGGCCACGGCGGAAAAGCGGACCTCCCCTTGCTCACGCTCAGTGAATTCTCTGCAGACCTTGGCAGCATCCTGAAAAGAGGAGTATCATTAATATCCCAACAGCAACAGCTCAAAATGAAAGTTTCAAGGGGAAAGTACCTCTAAGGCCTATTAATGCTCAGAAGTTCACCCTGGTCGATTCTAAATCTTCCATTAACCTTGACCCAAATGGGTCAAGTCCAGCAATTCTGCCTCTGTTCTTTATTCTGACTCTCTCACGCAAATCCCTCCCACCCTCGCTTCTCCAGGTCTACCTCTCACTCCATATTCCTATTACCATACACCCCTTGTATACATAGGAATTACCTTTAACTAATCTCAGGTAGGTGAGGAGAGTAGACTATAGAAAGTGACCTTTCCTCCTAGGGCTTGAGGAAGAGAACGCAATCAGGCAGAGGAAAAACAGGGACCCACATCGCAGATGTGGCTTTTTAGACGCCTTGACTCCTTTACTGCTTCTAACGAATAGCTCTGGGTTTCTCCCCATTTTGTGCCTGGTGCCTAGTTTGGCAAGAGAACTATTAATTCTTTTCCTCAAATGTAAACAAGACAGGAAATTGATCTCTCTCCCATAAAGGGGCATAAGAGAAAAGTTCTCCTCAGAAATTTCCAGAGTAGAAACAAATTTCTACTAAGTAGACATTTTACAAAACAGCCTTAAGGTTTAAAGTAAACATGTGACATTTCAGGTACAGACTAGTAACAGATTCTTAACTACTGAGGGTAGAATGACATGCGGTACTAATACCAAGACCTAGATCACAAAGGTTGGTAACAGAAAATTGATCCCAATGTTAGTTATTTACCAAATTCTAGGGTTTAAATAATTCTACTCCTAACAGTTTGAGTTATCCTATGTGAGGTGGCGCAGTGGTTAAGCACTCAGCCGATAAACGAAAGGTTGGTGGTTCAAACCCACCAGCCGCTCCACGAGAGAAAGAAGTGGCAGTCTGCTTCCATGAGGATTACAGCCTTGGAAACCCCATGGGGCAGTTCTACTCTGTCTTATAGGATTGCTGTGAGTCGGAATCAACGGCAACGGGTAATGTGTATGAGGCACATTTTATAGTATGAATATAGAATTAGATGCACGTTAGTATGCGCTTTAGAAGCTTTGTTAGAAGGTCCAGTCCTTCCCCTAAATGGGTTAAGTCCAGTAATTCTGCCTGTTGTTTATTCTGACTCTCTAATGCAAATCCTTCCAACCTCTCTTCTCAGGTCTCTCTCATTCCATATTACTATTCCCATACACCCCTCGCATATATAAGAATTAACTTAAATGAATCTGGGCAGACTAGAGAAAGTGATGCTTCTTCCTAGAGTGGGTTAATTTAATCCACTAGCACTTTAGGGTTATCAGGCCCATGATGTTCCAAGGGCAGGTCTATTATTAAGAAAGGTATAGTATTGCACAGTTCCTAAGAGCAGACTCTAAAAGCAGACTCTAAATTTCAACCATTGGCTTTCCTACTTAAGTGACTGACCTTGGGCATTACTTAACCTCTCTTGCAATTCAGTTTCCTCATCTGTAAATGGGGGTAATAATACCTATTATATAGCGTCATTAAAATGATTCTATAATAGATATAAATCACTTAGAATACTGTCTAGCATAGACGGTGACAAATTAAGGCACCAATCCAGCCTGCTGCATGTTTTTGTACATCAACTTTTATTGGAACGCAGCCATGTCCATTCATTTGTATATTGTCTAGGTTGCTTTGAAGGTATAATGGCTTTGGAACTACACCTACTCCTCACTTACTGACTATCTCATTATCTGACATTTTCTATTTACAATAGCAAAAAACTACTTTCCAACTATTCTGAATATTAATGATGTACATCTGGCAGTAACGAACATCGAGGTGCAAGGCTAGAGTAACACTGGCTGTGATGATTAAGGTTATATGCCAGCTTGGCTGGGCCATGATTCTCGTGATTTGGCAGTATATAATGATGCAATCTGGCAGTTATATAATGATGCGGTCATCCTCCATTTTTGCATAAAGCCAATTTTTGTATAATGATGCTGATTTTTGCATAACGACCATGTCGATAAATGAGTGGGTGTATAAAAGGCAGAGTTGCGTAGCTGCAACAGAGAACCTATGTCCCATAAAGCCTAAAATATTTACTATCTGGCCCTTTATACAAAAGTTTGCCAACTCCTGGCCTAGCACACAGTAAGTGCTCAAAAAAGATTAGCTGTTACAACTACAAATGAAATAGTTATACTTTAACATCATTTTGCATTTATCATAATTTAGCAATTTTCTGTCATATAACTGTGTGAGGGTTAAGTTTGGGTGACAACTTGGCTGGGCCATGATTCTCAGTGGTCTGATAGTTGTATGATATTGTGATCACTTCCATGGTAATATCTGATATAATGTGATCACCTCCATGATGGGATCTGCTGTGAGTAGCCAATCAGTTGAAAGGGAGTTTCCTTGGGCATGTGGCCTGCATCATATATAAGTGGACACTTTGGGCTTTTGCTCACTCTGGATCCTGCAGCTGGCTCCTGTTTGCCTGACCCCCAGTTCTCAGGACTTGGGCTAGCAGCTTACCTGTGGACTTTGGCTGCCAATCCTGGGATTCGTTGATCTTCGCAGCCTGTGAGCAAGAGCCCTGCCCTCTGACCTGCCGATTTTGGGCTTGTCAGTCCCTGCGGCTACGTGAATCAGGAGATGCCTCTATCTCAATCCATGGACTTGGGATGTTCCAGCCTCTACAACTGCATGAGCCACTTCCTTGATATAAATCTCTGTATGTACTTATATGCTTTACTCGTTTTGCTTCTCTAGAGAACCTAGCCTAAGACAAACAGCAAATTAATTTAACTCTACAGACTTATTTCTAGGATGAAAAGGCCAAGAGTACTCTACGAACTTTCATCTAAAATTAAGAAGTTTCAATGGTCACTTGTACTAGGCAGGTTACACAGTGATCCTGGATGCTGCAGTTCTCATAAAGCATGTTTTGAATCTGCTACTCTAGTTCTGGAACAGTGGGCCATATGGGAAGAAAAAACTCCTGAACTTAACTGCCTAACCAGAATCCCTAGTACACTATCTAGAAGTCTGAGCCAAATCCAGCTGTCTTGAGAGGAATCAGCAAAGGCTCAGATTGCTGTTACTGACTACTGATGTAATCTGAAAACTGGACAATGGTCGCCTTAATCACACAATGAAGTAAAGCATTGGCTTCCAGCTAATTCTAACTGTGGGTTAAAGACAACACATAATACAGATTAGTCAAGGCTGCTCTGAAGGATCCTGTTTAAAACCAGAGGCTATAAAACAATGTAGACAGAATTACTTAAGATGATCTTTAAGTCCTGAAGACTGCTACTAACCTGGGCCATTGGTGCTGGTCATACAAAAGTGTCAGCACTTTAAAATAGACAATTTGGCTAAAAAAAATGTGGTCCCTAGAAGAGAGAGATGGATTCCAAAGATTACCTGCAGTAGGGAGTCCTGTGAACTGGTGCCATGGTTTACTGGAAAAGGCATTCGTCCATCTATAACAAAGAAGCCAGCGTGTCAATTTTCTCTGCACATATTCTGACTACTCTGTTTGCCCAGCCCAGAGAGCTTTAGACTCTTCTGAATACCACTGCTACTTCCACATAGGGAAGACTGGTTATGGTGTTCAAATGTTCCTCTATGTCCTTCCCAGGCAATCCTAATCTGTAAGGTCAAACAAGCCCAACCCAGCTACCGATATGGGGGCCTGTGCCCCATCGCCAGGTAAGGACCACATAGCAAATGTCAGACACAGCCTCTGTGGTCAGGAGAGTGGAGGTTAAGAAGGCATCCTTGAGATTTCACTTGCTCTTCAGTGACTGCTGACGGATCCCAAGTCTCCTTTGCCCTTGTTTGCCCACAGGGAGTGTCTGTAGTGCCTTGAGACAACACAGCTGCCAAGTCTTTCCCCATTAACACAAAGGGGATGAATGTTCCAAAATGGATCATCTTTCCTGTTGCCCTGAGTCAGTTAACAGAAATCACCCTGACACATCCAAATTCCTTTTACACAAACACGGTCATATTCAAGCATCGATCTTTTTCTAAAAGTGTTCTGTGCCTGAAAAAGATGATGCTAGAGACCAATTACTGCTAATGCTAGATGAAACAGGAAGAGTAAGTGTGAAAATGTCATCCCTGAACAGGTGCCAGTCTACTCTTTACTGGTTTGTGACTAAAGGCATTCATTTCCTAAGTCAGCTGCCTGCGGGGGATGTTCTGGGTATGATAAAAGGACTAAATACTCCCATAAGTCATCTTAGAACCAAACAGTAGCTTAGCCTAATTAGAAAAGAATGTCTGCATTAAGCATTATACTCTTTTAAAGAACTGACTATATGTGATCAAATGGACAACAGCAGCTGGGAAGGATAGAAGAGAAGCTTAGGGGGGAAGTGAGTTTGTATTAATGATGGTGAAATCGTTTGGAAAAGGTTGTTGAGAAAGGTGGCACGACTTGCAGAATGTAATCAGTGTTACTGAACCATATATGTGTAGAAACTGCTGAAGCAGCGTATGTGGTGTTGTGTATACTTTCACCAAAAATAAAAATAAATAAATGAAAAAAACAATACCCCCCAAAAATACCCTGTTGTTTTGACTTCATTAACAATGATGCTAACAGCCATAAAGCCATGTACCAAGCCTGAAGAATACATGAAACCATTATCAGATTCCAGAAATCGAGTGAAACATACCAAGTTCATAGAGGTGGCCATCCACGTTGTTGAACAGAATAAAATGAAAGTTCACTTTGTCATCTACCTGAAAAGAGTAAGAATTTGTTTTTTAAAGTGAGTTTTTTATAAGTCGAACTTGTTAAAAATAAGGCCTCTCATTATTTGAGTGCAATATGCTTGAGCCAACTTGCTTATAATTTAGTTAAAATTATTACACCTAATATTTGTGTATTTCCACACTAGGTCCCAGTCTGAGCTCATCAGGGTAGATACGGTATAACTGTGAGAACAACTCTATGAGGTAGCTACTATTGCACACTTTTTACTGAGAAGACAGTTAAGGCTTAAGGAGTATAAGCATTAAGGATTAAGATCAAGGCTGGAAAGTGGCAGAGCCAACTGTAGTTTTAAGGATACTGACTTTAACAGGAACCTTTGTGGCACAAACGGTTAAGTGCATGACTGCTAACTGAAAGGCTAGTGGTTCAAGCCCACCCAGTGGCTCTGTGGGAGAAAGGCCTAGTGATCTGCTTCTGTAAAGATTACAGTCAAGAAAACCCTATGGGGCAGCTCTGCTCTGTCACATGGGGCCACTATGAATTGGAATCAACTCAACGGCACACAACAACACTGACTTTAATCTAACGCAGCAATTGACTTGGAGGTTCTGTTCAGATTATAGTACCTTTAAGACCTCCAGAAATGGTCAGTCCTTGTCGGTGTATCTTACTCTCCCCAAAACAATGGGTGAGAAGAATATTTGACATGCTCAATCACTCCTTAAGACTCACTGGGATCTGAGCAAAATACTATTCTTTGAATTTACTAAAGACTATGTCAACTGCCCACTAGATTTCTGAAGAGTCATTTTTAGGAACAGGTCTAGTCAAAGGATCATTGAATTTTAGACAGAACGCAGGTAGAAATTTTAGATAGAATTTTCTGGCATTAATTGGCCTTGGGTGAGTACCATTTGCTGGGTTCCCGTAAAAGGTTCACATGCGTATTTCAGTAAAAACACAGGTGGCACCTGGACTGCCTGGCTCTGATTTGTATTTGCACTCACCCGACACTGGCCTTCCAGTGCCACAGCATCATGGGCTGCCTGAATGGCCTGCAAAAAAGGAGAAAATAATTAGCACAAAAATATCCAAGATTGTTTAAAAGCAATGCTCTGTGAAGTTCGACTCCTACCTCATTCTTTTCAAAGCATTTTGCTCTGTCTTCAGGGGACATCTTCTCCGTTTCAGAAAGAAACTGTTTCAGGACTGACCCATTCTCTTTTAAATACAAATGCATGTATTAGTTATAGATATGATAACGCAAATCAGTTCACATTTATTGTTGACTTAAGCCATTGCACAACTGGTCAAGTTTATCAACCTGAATCCTTAATATAGCCTCTCGCGATATGTATGAGCTGTCCCTTCTTCCCCAGCCCTTTCCTAACTCACTACATTCGGCCAGAGTGGCCTTCTCCATTCCTCCTGTGCAAAGCTCTTTCTTGCCTCTGCTCCCTGCCACCCCAACCCCCATTCGTCTGGCCATTTCCCACTCATCTTCACATCTCAGCTTATCACTTTCTCACAGCACTTATCTATTTGTAACACATCATTTGTGAGATTTTTCACGCCATAAGGACATGGCTGCCTTGCCTATTGCTGTATCTACAGCACCAAGCACAATGCACAATTAATATTTATTGCATTCATGACCCTACAATAACATTTTCATGGAAACAGTTCTCAATCCAAGATTTTTATTTCAGAGTGGAAACTTCAATCTCAGTAATTCAGTTATCTAGACAGACATTAACATAAAGATCTTAAATAAAAATGTAAAGCACTAAATAGCCCAGCCTAGGAACAACTGACTGTTGGTATAAACATTTTGTTTTTTGTTTTTGTTCAATGTGAATAAAGCTAGGAAGACACTGATTACACCGCAACAACAATTTATATTTTAAAAGACCTTAATTTGAATTTCCAACTCTAAACTTTAAAAAAAAAAAAAACTGTTAAATGACGACCATTCAAAAATTGGAAGTGACAGAAATCCTCTTCACTTTATGAGGTGGACTATGACTCAGAATAAGTCTCTGACACCATCATTACCATAGTGACAAAAGTGTTACAGTATCCCTGGGTCACCAAGATGGCAGTACTCTAAGTGGAGTGAGACTTAGCAAAGAACTGGAAAGAAATCAAGCTACAACTTTTAATATGGCTCAGGCAAGCCAATATTTGAAAAGACAACCTAGAAGATCTGGATGGTTATGGCCAGAGAAGCCATTTAATTTTCAAAGTATATCAAGAGTAGAACGTTGGCCACACTTACCTTATAAAAAGACAAACAAACAGTATTTGCCCTGTTAGAAGCATGGACTACCAGTTGAAGTTATTCAATTTTTAACATCACCACCCATTGTCTTCAGTCAGAAGTTAGCAAACTACTGCTGCTTATTTTGGAAATAAAATTTTATTAGAACACAGCCACATCTATTTGTTTACATCTTGTCTATTGTTTCTTTTGCTCTACAACAGCAGAGACTGTATGGTCCTCAAAGTCTAAAATATTTACTCTCCGGGCCTCTATAAAGGAGTTTGCTGACCCCTGGCTTAAATTACACGCAATGGCTATGTTACTTTAAGATATTTTAATGCTACTGATTGTTCCTCTGACAAGTGTAAGGGCTGAGACTCATTTCTTCTGTATTCTCCACAGCAACCATCAGGGCTAATGGCCCTCACCTGATTTTGTTCACAGCTGGCTCTTCCACAGTTTCGACCTGCTGCTATGCTTACCTGCAAGAACCTTCCCACAGTGACTAACCTACTCTACGCTATGTCAGTTCTCCTGTTGTTGAGACAAAGAACCATTACAAGACAGAGTCTAACCGTTGATACTTTGTCTTGATATCATCTCTAATGCTTCATGATCATTAAGAATGAAATGAGAAAAATCTAAAAGTCACTACAATAATTAGCCCTCAAGTTCTCCCCCTGCCCCTACCCCATTTAGGCCGTCTGCAAACTGGAAGAGCACATACAAGAGGCAGTACAAAACTGTTTATTACCCACACGTCCACGCCAGGTGGATAATGCCAAACTATGCTTCTTGGCAAATAAGTTTCCTTCTCTCAAAAAAGACAAATAATAAGAATTCACCCACTGGTTTACATTTAGATAAGTTGTTGGGTGCTACTGAGTTGATTATGACTCACAGCAACCCCATGTGATGGAGGTGAACTGCCCCAGAGTTCCCTTGGCTCTAATGTTTATGAAAGCAGATCGCCAGGCTTTTCTTCCTCGGAACTGCTGGGTGGGTTGGAACTGCCAACCTTCTGATTAATAGCTGAGCGCTTAACCATTGTGCCACCAGGGTTCCTTAGATAAGTAGTAGCTGCGGCTAAGCAGGTTTCAAGTACTTTTAAGGCAATAACTTTGCTGAATAGAACCTGGGGGCTTTTGGAATGAAGAGTTCCAGTTAACTGTGCTTTCTTAACTTCCCATTCAAAACATAACTAGAGGGGGGTAGGCCTGAAAACCCACACTTACCAAACTCCAGTTTGTCCTGATTATTGGCCACTGCATGTATAAGTCCGATTGTACCACAGGAGTTCCCAATGGTCTGCTTCATGAAATACACTTTAGGACTAACTTCTTGTCCCTTCAGTTCTTCAATCTGTTTTTTCCTGAAATTCTCATGCTGTGAATGTAACAGACATTTTTCTATTTCAAAGTAAAAACGCAAAGAACAGATGGCAGCACAGCAAGTTCTACCACCTAAACAGAAAAGCAAGCGGGATGTGTGACCAGGAGCCTTGATTCTAGCTGCTGGCCAGTACCCAGAGACTGGCCTGTCTGCCTCCCACACTCACACTAGCCCGGTGGGGTTCTGAGCTTCTGAGACTCCACCCTGATGCTGCAGTGCAGTAACTGCCTTGGACATTGTCCAAGGCCTTGTCTAGACGCCACAGCAACCTTTTAGCTCCAAACGGATGGTGTCATGAAGTCAGAAAAACAGACCAACTCATTATTTTCTTTAACACTAACGACAGTATTTCGGTATCCCGATCAAGCTTGGTCAATTTAATGCCCAATAAGAATACCAGCTAGTTTATACCTCACTGTTCTTCAAAGCGCTACTTTCACCCTGCCCAAGTATCCAAACCCACCAAACCCATTGCCAGCCAGTTGATGCCAACTCACAGTGACCCTATAGGACACAGCAGAACTGCCCCACAGTTTCCAAGGAGCGGCTGGTAGATTCGAACTGCTGAACCTTTTTTTTGGTTAGCAGCTGAATGCTTAATCACTGCACCACCAGGGCTTCCCTGTCCAAGTATACTGCTCTTAAATAAATAAACGAAACAAAGCTTAACTGTTCAAGGAGCAATTCAAAGAAATTAACTCTTTCCTTTTTTTTTATTGGGGGGGGGTAGTAGGGAAAGACAATTGGTCTAGGGTATCTGGCAGTGCTTTTTACAAAAACTTCTCATCCTACAAGAGGTAGATGTGACACTTGTTTGGCCTTGCCAGCTATACAGGTTGAGGACAGATTAGCAATTTGGAGGGTAGGGGGAGACTAGTAAACAAACGGGACTAGAAGATGGTTTTAGTCTTTTGCAAGGTAACTTAGCGTGCTTGTCTGGACCTTTCACTAACCAGTTTTAAAGACCTTGATAGTATGACTTCTCAGTCAAAAACCAGGGTGCTAATACTATAGAAAGTCCTGGTGGCACAGTGGTTAAAAGCTTGTCTGCTAACCAAAAGGTCGGCAGTTCGAGTCCACCAGCCACTCCTTGGAAACCCTACAGGGCAATTCCATCTGTCCTATAGGGTCACTATGAGTCAGGATCGACTCGATGGCAATGGGTTGTTTTTTTTTTGTTAATGATACAGAAACCAATTTCTCATAACTAGCAAGATTCAGACAGAATACCAGAAGCATATTTCCAATTCTAGTAGCTTTGCATTACTACGCATGGCATTGAAGTTTGAGTTTAAGCCTGCTCTGTGGCACAATCAGAGAACAAGGTCTCTTCTGCTGATTTAAGATCTGCATCATTCCACAACTGGCCATAGGCACCAGAACTTAAACTCCAATTAGTAGGAAGTTCTAGCATCGTATCTACCAGATCCTTGAATTGTTGCTCATTGACAAGAATTTTCACTTTTCTAGGTTAATTAAAGAGGAGGGGTGGATAGCATGGTCCTTTAGAGCTCCTGCATGGAGACACTTCTGTAACTATTTCACTGTGACTTAAAATTAATGTTTTAGAAGTGGTCCATTTAGGATTTCATAATGTTCCCAGAGTTAAATCAGATGCTTTCTAAATTAATATTAGCTTGTTTGGAAATCAGTCTATACACCTCAACTTTTCTTTGAATTTGCTTCCGTGTTTAGCCCAGTAGGTGTTTTATTTAGCTGAATAGGTGCTCAATAAATCCGATGGAATGAACTGGAGTTCTTTCAAACATAAGCCATTCAAACCAGAATGTTCTCTAACAAGAGCTGCTTGATCCAGCAAAAGGAGACCAGCGAGCTTTTGAAAGGCAAAACACGCTGCACTACTGCCTCCCGGAGGCCTTGCCTCTTAAGTGCTGCTCAAAACCTGAGTCATCATGGTTCCTCTAATAAGAAAGCTCTGCCGAGACACTCAAGTGAAACAGAGGCTGCCCTTGATTTGGTCAAAAGGAGAGACAAATTGTGACTGGCGATTATTTGATGGCTCCCTTTTTGCCTAAACAGAGGTTTTAGCAATAAAAATTTATCAGTGGGAATATAATAGCTTTAATAGGGATTTTTAATCCACATTTAGCCCATTTACCATGAGGAAGGCCTGGAAATTCCACAGGGATTGATTTATGCTGAGGATGCATCTAGGATATCCAGCGTTAGGATGGTGCTTCAGTAAAGCTCACTCGGTGGTTTGGAGTGATGCCCCAAATGCTAATGCCCCAAGTTTTGCTAAGCATATGATCAGGCAATGTCATGCTACATAGTTGGGATTCCATACATCATAAGACAACAATTATCCCAGCTACCTTTTTATACTTGGTTCTCAGGCTATGAGGTATCTATATCCATGCACACCTGCAGGAGGTGGATCATCTAAAGGGAAATGAAAAGGTGTTTCCAAGACTGCTCTAATACCCTCACCCATTTCTTACAGCTACAAAGTCTGAAACGAAAGAGGGTAAGAGAGGGTGGAAAGACCCACACAGAAACCATACACAAATATTAAGCTTAAAAGACACATTCAAGAGCCTAAAAACCAGTGCGCATGTTATAGGAGATATAAGGGGGACTGCAGAGGGGAAGGGTGAATGGAAAAAATCCCAAGTCCACCTGGAAACCCAGCCCTTGCAGGCAGTGGAGGTGCAGAATTAGAGAACCTATTGTTTCCTAGGGATTTAGGCACGCCCATTCCCCTCCATTTTATGGCAAGGTGGGAGTCTGAGAACCAAACAATGAGCTGATAGGTAGGTCACAGCCCTGAAAGGAACAACCAGCCAGCTATTCCTGGGCGTGGAAGGCTCAGAAAAGGCTCTTGGTGTTACAGACTATCTAGGTTTAAGCGAACTCAGGAGTACGATGACTTATTTCCCTAGATATTTGGGAGGACAAAACTGAGACGCTACTTCTCTTCCAAATTTAAGGCAACGCTGGCTGGATTAAGTGAAAAGGCAGTGAATGCTATTACAACAGGCGTCCTAAACAGTAGGTTATCACGAAAGCGGAGGCTCCTCCCTTCCCGGCGGCGCAACCTTTATGCCCCGTGGGGAGGAGAGCCAAGTCTACAGCCCTCCACGCCTCACTCAGGTTCGGGAGTAGTACGCACTGCCAGGCCCCACGCCCTACCTGAGCCGTCAGGGGAAAGAGCAGCAGGAGGGCGCAGGCAGGCGCTGGCAGAGAGCCCAGAGTCTCCTCCTCCAGCCCCAGCACATCCACGAAGCGCCACTGGCCGGCGACCCCTAACCGGGCCAGCACCTGCGGAGAAGAGACGAGGCCAGGCGCACGGGAACAGGCAAGTCACGAGCACCTACTCCGAAGGCGGGACCGCTTCGCGCGCGTTCTGCGCCCCCACCCGACCTTGGGAGAAGTCCGAGCCCCGCCCCGCTCCCCCCACCCCTTCTCGCGCAATGACACAGCACAAAGCGCGGCCCAGGCGCTGCCCACACGTGGCTCCCGTGAAGCTGGGCACCCGAGTCCGAGCGGCCAGCGCCACGCCCTCCGGAGCTCGGCCTGGCGCCGGCAACTGAGCGCAGCCTCTTCCATCCCTATCCCCCGCCCCCGACAGGTTTCGCAGAGTCACCACCCAAATGCAGGGGGAGAGCGCAGGGCGAGGCTCCGTCTCCGCAAAGCAGCCGGAGCCCGTGGGCGCCTCCGCCTCGGCGCTCCCGGGGGACGTGGACAGAGGCAACGCGAGACGCCACTCACTTTGTTCAGCATCTGAAAGGCAAATACAAAGGAAAAAAATAAAATCGGTCCATGATACAGCTACCTAGCCAGAGTTTTACCTGCACCTGGCGCTCACCTCGGGGTTAATCTCCATCGGTTTGAGCTGCATCTTCGAGAAGAGCAAGAGAAGCCACAATCGTGAGAACAGGCAAAACAGCAAGCGGAGCCGCCCAGGCTGACACTATAAAGCGCCGGCCTGACGCACTGTGGGACTTGCGCAGGGGGAGCGGGGGCAAAACCAAGCGATGGGAAAACGACGAGGTGCAGCCAAATAGGCATGAACCCCCCATGCGCAGCGCCAAGTGGTACGGCCGAGGCCCAAACCTTGCAGTCTCGCTTGCTGGTGAGATAATCTGGTGGTGGTGGAGGTGGATTTTGCTGGTGGGTGTTCCTTGAGTGTATTCAGCAGTTCTTTTGATGCAGTCTTTCATTTTTTGCGGAGTTTCTGGACCCCCCTCCCTTTTTATCCTCCTAGTCACCTGGAAGCTATGGTTCTCTGAAGCATTGAGAAAAAGCTGAAATTCAACAGGTATATAATTAAATATGACTATAAATATATATTCTTCAAGTCTCTCAGCGGTTTGCATTTGACCTTAGGCAATTCATTCTCCATGTTCAATCAAACCAGTACTGAGGTTCGTTTTTAATTTGACTGACTTGAATAAAAAAGAATCTGTTTATAACAGAATGCATTAGTAATGCTGATGTAATGTGACTCCCAGGAAGAAGTGGTTATGAAGAAACGGTGGAAACCTGGGGGATGTGGCCATATACAAGGCACAGAGAAGGCAGGCAGTCGGAGACTTTAACAAACAGATCCAGAGAAGAGATAGATATGCTCTCCAGAAAAGAGGCTGTAAAAGGAAAAGCATTTTTTTAAAAATGTGAGCCTTCGAAAAATATTCTGAGTTCACAGTAGAATAATCCCAGTGGAGAGTGGGATGGCAATTAAAGTAAACACATTTTTCTAATGATAGGAGGTGGGTTCCACCCCCAACCCCCAACAGCATATTCAAAAGATGGAGAGAAAAAGCTTATGCCAAAGAATGAATTAAGAGTGGCAAAAATCAGTAAGAATAGTGCCAGAAAAGCTAACGCGTCAGAATGACTTGGGGCTGGTAGAAATGCTAAAGAAGCTGGAAGGTTGGGTATTTTTAAAAATATGCTCAGAACAAAATGGTGATGATGATGGAGGACTAGACTGATAGTTTAGGGTCCAAAGTTGACAGAGGGAAGGGAGGAAATCTACATTATTTTAGTTATTGCCTCTAAAGTGCATCAGATGCTTTGTGTGTCATCTCATTTAATCCATAGAGAATCCAGTGGAGAAATTTATTAGCGTCATTTTAGAGATGAGAATCCAAGGCTTGTTGTTGGGTGCCGTCCGGTTGATTCCCACTCATAGCAACCCCATATGACAGAGTAGAACTGACCCATAGGGTTTTCTAGGCTGTAATCTTTATGGAAACAGATCACCAGGTGTTATGGAATGAATTGTGTCCCCCAGAAATATGTGTTGAAAATCTAACCCCTATACAGGTAGTCCCTGATTTAGGATTATTCGAGTTACACCGAACTGCATTTAGGACCATCCTTTTTTTGGTACATCTTATTGTTAGTAATATGGATTACATACAGTGTTGCAGCACATAGTTTGCTGATGTCATCATTCTCATGCCAACTTCCAAAGACAAATAAAGATCAGATTTATAAAGATACTGATAATAAAAGGCAATAATAATGAAAGTTAAAAAAAAAAAAACGATTATTAGCCTTATGGAACCCCGTCATAAGTCGGGGACTGCCTGTACCTATGAGTTGGAATTGACTCAGTGGCAATGGGTTTGGTTTTTTGGTTTATACCTGTGTTTATAATCCCATCTGAGAATGGGTTTTCTTTGTTATGTTAATGAGGAAGTATTAGTGTAGGTAGTATTTTAAGTCAATCTCTTTTGAGATTTGAGAATAGAAGATTGAGCAAGCAAGGAAGCAAGCAAGCAGAGTTGGGGACAGATAGATGCCATGCCACATGAGATCTCCAAGGAACCAGGAAACAGGAGCTGTAAAGAGACAGGATCTTCCCAGAGTGCCAACAGGGAGAGAAAGCCTTCCTCTAGAGCTGGCACCCTGAATTCAGACTTGTAGCCTCATAAACTGTGAGAACATAAATTTCTGTTCGTTAAGGCCACCCACTTGTGGTATTTCTGTTATAGCAGCATTAGATAGCTAACACACCAGGTCTTTTTCCCATGGAGCTGTTGGGTGGGTTTGAACCACCAAACTTTTGGTTAGCAGCTGAGTACTTAACCATTGTACCACCAGGGTTCCTCCAATTCAAGGCTTACAGAAATTAATTTACTTAAGGTCACAGTTAGAAAAGTAAAACTGAAAAGTGAGCCCTGGTGAATCAGGCTGTAAACACTCATTCTCCATCCATGATTCCACTACATTCCATTTATATTTTCTTTCCATTTTTTACCATCAGAAAAAAAGATCTTCACACAGAAAACGAGAGAAAAAAATACTAGTAAGGAGGACTTGATAGGTGAATTTTGTTGTTGTTGTTAGGTGCTGTTGAATTGGTTCTGGCTTATAGTGACCCCACGTACAACAGAATGAAAAGCTGCCCAATTCTGCACCATCCTCACAATCGTTACAATGTTTCAATGCATTGTTGCAGCCACTGTGTCAATCCATCTCCTTGAGGGTCTTCCTCTTTTTCGATGACCCTCTGCTTTACCAAGCATGATGTCCTTCTCAGGGACTGGTCCCTCCTGATAACACGTCCAAAGTACGTGAGACAAAGACTCGTCATCCTTGCTTCTAAGGAGCATTCTGGCTGTACTTCTTCCAAGACGGATTTGTTTGTTCTTCTGGCAGTCCACAGTGTATTCAATATTGTTCACCAACACCACAATTCAAAGGCATCAGTTCTTCTTCAGTCTTCCTTATTCGTTGTCCAGCTTTCACAGGCATATGAGGCAATGGAAAATACTATGGCTTGGGTCAGACATCCTCAGAGTGACATCTTTGTTTTGTAACACTTTAAAGGTCTTTTGCAGCAGATTTGCCCAATGCAATACACCGTTTGATTTCTTGACTGCTGCTTCCATGGGGGTTGATTGTGAATCCAAGTAAAATGAAGTCCTTGACAACTTCAGTCTTTTCTCTGTTTATCCTGATGTTGCTTATTGGTCCACTTGTGAAGATTTTTGTTTTCTTTATGTTGAGATGTAGTCCATACTGAATGCTGTAGTCTTTGATGTTCATCACAAAGTTAACAGGTTTACTGGCTTGCTTGTTTAATCTCTTTTATATCTCAAAAAAGATTGATTTATGAACACCTTACACTAATCCTCCCCCACGTGTCTGTCTGTTTGTCGTACTGTGAGGGCTTGCATGTTGCTGTGATATTGGAAGCTATGCAACTGGTATTCAGATACCAGCAGGGTCACCCATGGCAGACACGTTTCAGCTGAGCTTCCAGACTAAGACTAGGAAGAAGGACCCCAGCAGTCTACTTCTGAAAAGAATTAGCCAGTGAAAACCTTATGAATAGCAGCGGAACATTGTCTGATATAGTGCTGGAAGATGAGCCCCCCAGGTTGGAAGGAACTCAAAAGACAACTAGGGAGGAGCTGCTGCCTCAAAGTAGATTTGACCTTAATGACATGGATGGAGTCAAGCTTTCGGGATCTTCATTTGCTGATGTGGCATGACTCAAAATGAGAAGAAACAGATGCAAACATCCATTAATAATTGGAACATGGAATGTCCGAAGTATAAATCTAGGAAAATTGGAAATCGTCAAAAATGAAAGGGAACGCATAAACATCGATATCCTAGGCATTAGTGAGCTGAAGTGGACTGATATTGGCCGTTTTGAATCAGACAACCATATGGTCTACTATGCCGGGAATGAAAACTTGAGGAATGGCGTTGCATTCATCGTCAAAAAGAACATTTCAAGATCTAACCTGAACTACAGCACTGTCAGTGATAGGATAATATCCATACGCCTACAAGGAAGACTAGTTAATATGACTATTTTCAAATTTACATACGAACCACTAAGGCCAAAGATGAAGAAATTGAAGATTTATACCAACTTCTTCAGTCTGAAATTGATAGAACATGCAATCAGGATGTATTGATAATTACTGGTGATTGGAATACAAAACTTGGAAACAAAGAAGAAGGATCGGTAGTTGGAAAATATGGCCTTGGTGGTAGAAATGATGCCGGAGATCACGTCATAGAATTTTGCAAGACCACTGAGTGACCTCTTAATTGCAAATACCTTTTTTCACCAACATAAACGATGACTATACACATGGATCTCGCCAGATGGAATACACAGGAACCAAATTGACTACATCTGTGGAAAGAGACCATGGAAAAGCTCAATATCATCAGTCAGAACAAGGGCAGGGCTGACTGGAACAGACCATCAGTTGCTCATATGCAAGTTCAAGCTGAAACTGAAGAAAATTAGAACAAGTCCACGAGAGCCAAAGTACCACCTTGAATATATCCCACGTGAATTTAGAGACCATCTCAAGAATAGATTTGACGCGTTGAACACTAATGACAGAAGACCAGACGGGTTGTGTAATGACATCAAGTACATCATACATGAAGAAAGCAAGAGGTGATTAAAAAGACAGGAAAGAAAGAAAAGATCAAAATGGATGTCAGAAGAGCCTCTGAAACTTGCTCTTGATCGTCGAGTAGCTAAAGCAGAAGGAAGAAATGATGAAGTGAAAGAACTGAACGGAAGATTTCAAAGGGTGGCTGGAGAAGACAAAGTAAAGTATTATAATGACGTGCAAAGAGATGGAGATAGAAAACCAAAAGAGAAGAACATGCTCGACATTCCTCAAGCTGAAAAAACTGAAGAAAAAATTCAAGCCTCGAGTTACAATAGTGAAGGATTCTATGGGGAAAATATTAAACGATGCAGAGTCATTATTCCAGGAAAATATTGGTCAGTGTTCAACCATTTCAAGAGGTGGCATATGATCAGGAACCGATGGTACTGAAGGAAGAAGTCCAAGCTGCACAGAAGGCACTGGCGAAAAACAAGGTTTCAGGAATTGACGGAATATCAATTGAG